TGACGCATCGCGTACTCCAACTAGGTAGGCAAGACCGCCCTAGCAGCCGGCCTTTGTCTTGGTTCGTTTGGAACGACGATCAAAGAGATCGTTTCTTTCCTCGTCCTCTTTCTTTTCGTGCGATTTTTCAAACCCTCCCCCCTCCTCCAAACGAGCCGGGGCCTTACTTTGTTCCATTCAGTTTTCCTTCTGACGAAGAATCGGTCCCGTTGATCGGATTCGCTGGGAGAACGATTAGCCGGGCCATTTATCGTCCCAGCGTTGCGGAAACGAAGTACCTTCGATGAAATTGTCTCGCATAAACAAGATTACCGTGCGTTTAATTCCTCTTCGTTACGCGAATCCATGCAGCAGCGCCCCTTCCCATTTACCCGATTGAAAGATCGTTGGAATCTCCAATTATAGATTTTCCTTTTTTTTTCTCTTTTTCCTTTTCAATTAACGATCGTTAACGTGAACATCGTTCGGAAGCGAATGTTCGAAACGAAAATTCATGCGAACCCGGTGGGATCTTGGGTAAATAAACGGAGATGTTTGTTCTTCGTTTCTTTAATCGGGAATCGTTAGGGAAAGGTTGGCGAGGCCGACGTTAGCCAGCGCTCCCGAAAATGGCGGACTCGCTTAATACGCCCTGTCTCTGTCTCTCTCTCTCTATCTATCTATCTATCTATGTATCTATCTATCTATCTATCTTGCACGCTGGTCGCTCGGTTACACGAATAATGGATTGCCATTAAAGCATCTACGTTAAAGAGGAAAGTATGAAACAGCTCGTTCGCCAGTCGCTGGCTCGTGAAACGAAGAAATTTGTGACCGCGTTAAAAGTCGAACGAGAAAATGTTGTTTGCATATGTACTCCGCGTGCAAGCTCGAGAAAGAGAGAGAAAGGACAAGAGTGCAGATTTAAGAGTGTAATTCAAACGTAATTATCCAATCGTTTTTCGTTGCAAAAATTTCTACGGGGAGGGAAAAATTAAAAAATCACGAAGACCAAAAAAAAGGAAAGAGAAGACGGTGAAATTAAAAATCGCGACGAGAAAACACCGGAGAGAAGAAATGAGAGAGAGAGAGAGACAAAATCTCCGTTACGATAAAATTTCAATCTCGCGCCGTGTAATGCGTCGTAACGTGTGTGTACGCGTATACATATGTACAGCAGGTATGTATAGCGTATACGTAGCTAGAGTATTATGCAGTTGCTCCAGTCGGTGAAGTAGTCGTGTAAGCCAGCCGAGGGTTCAACGACCGGTATAAATTAAAGCGGCGCTTGGATTTCAATGCCACGGCCTTGCTCAAGGCCGCCGTACTCGTAGAAAATCAACGGTACAATTTGCGGCCGCGTTTGTAACAATAAATTGTGCAAACACACTGAGGCCGGCCGAACTCGTGCACGCGACACACACGATGCCTGGTTGACAATAAGAATTGGGGGAAGGAGAATTCCGAGCACGATTAATCAATCATTGATTTCTAATTTGCGGATAGAATTAGAATGACAGCCCGAAATGTGAAGATCGGATAGAATAGAATCACTGATTTCTGAATTGCAGATGGAAGTCTGAAGAATAGTCGATCGAATTTTATTCGAATTTTTATGTGGATTGGAATAGAATTTATAGAAGGAGTAAGTATAATATTCTTGGTTCGAGTAATCGAAGCACGGGTGGATCAAATATATAAAATATCAAGTATAGTGTTTCACATTCGTAATCTATCGTGTGTCTTAACCACTTGCGCTGGCAACTGATTGCGGACCATAACGAGTGACCATACCGTATATATAACAATTCGTCGCTTTCTTTTTGAACTCGTCGGTATGACATCACTGGATAGAAATTATTGAGGAGTAATAAATTTGTTTTGCCTGGGTTATACTTACTTAAGTATACTTGAAACTGTGAAAATATTGCAATTTTGGGACAAAAAGTTGCGGACCATAACGAGTGACCAAACCGTATACACAATAATTCGTCGCTTTCTTTTTGAACTCGTCTATATATCACTGGATAGAAATTATTGAGGAGTAATAAATTTATTATTTATTTTGCCTGGGTTATACTTAAAAAAAAATATACTTAAAACTGTGAAAATATTGCAATTTTGAAACAAAAAGTTCTCGACGTGCGTGGCAAGTCGTTGCAGCGCAAGAGGTTAAGATTTATTTCTCTTATCATTTTATTACATCTCTACGTAATTACACATTTCTAAAAATGCTTCGATCATGTACACAGTTCAGTTCAAGCTCGACTCGAGTTCATTGTTTGCCGTTGAACTCGAATCGTCGACTCTTGTTAGTCGATCTTGTTGTCTCACTCGACCGATACTCGCAGTCATCTGTATCCATCGGTGATTCTCATTGAAAAAAAAAATAGTACTCTCGTACACGCGGAACGTAATCGCGACGAGTCGAAGCACCATCATTACTCCAAGGCGAGAGAGCGGGTAATGGAGTTGATTTAGGATAATTCCATAGGGACAAAAGGATATCCGCGACGTTTAATCATAGATGCGCAGCGAAAGAAAGGTCTGATGAAAATTGGTTGGCACGTAGGAAAAGTAGGAAATATCGACGTCTATTTTCATCTACCACGCCTAACCGACGTTACATCGCAGTTTATTCCTCGCTTCTTGCTCTGCGTATCCTTGCGAGCGCTTTAATTATCGACCTGCTCGCTGAGCGTAATTCGTTGTTCCTTTAATCGTTCCTATTAATCGAACAACGGTGTCCTGAGAGAAAACGACGACACTTTCTTCCAAGTTTGACGAGAATGATTCTTGATTCTTTTTCGAAAGCCCGTTCTACAGAATAGAGGAAAGGGTTCGTAATTTCTTAGGTACATAATGTATTTGTCGAAACATGAAAAAAGTCTTAATAAACGTGGCTCAAGTTGTAAACGACTTCGAGAGTTATTATACTGCATGCAAGTGGTTTACTTATTTATACAAATTTATAATTTTCTGATTACACAGGAAGTTTTCCACGTGTCTTCCTTTCATTTCTATGCGTGCTTGACATTAAAGAATTACGTTTGTAGCTTCAACTGAAACATAAAATCGTTTATAACTTTGAAACTATTAATTTCTCCACCCATGGTTATCAGGACTATTTTCCATGTTTCGGCAAGTACTATCTCGAACCTTTTTTCCTAGTCACTCTGTATAAATCACTATTAACTTTATACACGGGATGAAGTTACATCACAGTGGAACGAAATTTTAGTTAACATCCGATTAACTGAACTCCTGCCGATTGAATCCACTTGTCTGAGCGTGAACTGTTATTAACGCGAATGAGAAGTAACAGGCAGCGGGGAGAATTGATAAATTCCCATTATGTGAATATCGCTTGTCCTCTCCGTGGGTTCAGATAAACGCAGTTGAAACGAGAAGACTATAAACTCTAGAGATAGAAAAATAAAAAAAAAAAAAAAAAAAAAGAAGTAAATTACTTTCTAAAGAGTCGTACAATTTCCCTTTTCACGCCCCCTTTTACAGTGAACTTTTGTATCTTCGATGATACTTTGAAATTTCCTTTCCATCGATTCGTACTCAAAAGTTACCGAAACTTTTAACTTTCTGAACTTTTCTGGTAATTTTGAGAATATTGAAACTATCAGATTTTCGATCTTTTATGCATGTATGTACATACGTGTCGATCTTTTCTTACACATTTCGCTCTCTTCGTATCGTTGGCGTGGTTTTCAGCGTGCATCAACAGAGTTTCGTAACCGGCTGGATGATTATCTCTTCGTTTTCGAAATTTACAAATATTTTTCGGGAACGCCGCCGGTATGGGCCGTCGCTTTTGCGAGCCTCCCGTAACAAATTATCGTTATTACACCGGCTACATTTAATTCCGGGAGGTAAATCAATTGCGTATGACGCTCGCGGATAATTGGTTAATTAACTTGAATTGCCAACGAGTATGCGTGTATGCGTTTCATCCAACATCGGCGTCACACGAATACGAATGTGAGTGGTCGACAAACGTGTTATCGCGAGTGTGTTGGCAACAAAAATTTTCTTTCGTTTCGTTGTTGAGAGAAAGATTGAACATTCGAAATTTTCAGTGATTACTTTAACGCGAAAGCAAAATGATGGAAAATGGATCGGTAATCATTCAAATGGAGCTTTAAGTGTATTACTACGAATATGTTCTTGTTCACTTCTCAATTTGTAGAGTCAGAGATCATTCCAACGTATACAGAGTAATTTCATGTAACTTGCACACCTGAAATAGCTTTTAATTTATGCGTCCAATGAAAAAATGACTCGCGTCGAAGTTCGTTCAAAGATCAATCAAAAGTCAGCCTCGATCGCTATTATCTTGGCCATTGATCGTCAGTATCATTGTAACCGTAGGTTAGTTATCTCGAACTTTGTAATGTTTATTGCAATTGTTATAAATTCTCGAGATCCATCGTGAACGAGGGATTCCTCGCGACGCCCATCTGCCTGTTTCTTACTCGCTTGGTTCATTCGTTTCACCAATAACTCGATGAACGCGCGGAGCGAGTGTCGTTTCCACTTTTGCTAATATGTTGCTTAACGGTAATTATCCATAAATTTACATATTAACAATTACTACCATGTCTTATCATTAAAACCATGATATACGAATCATTAATCGCTTCATAAAGTACCTCGTACAAATTCATTCAACATTGCACAGCCGGCTAAGAAATATAAAGAATATTTGTGCTTAATGACGGCACAATATCGCAAATAAGCTGCAGACTAGCTTGTTAACTTGAGTCGATTATGAATGATAAGTGCGATAATAACTGGCGTAATTAAGAGAATTCAATTTGCGATACTTGGCCAGTTCAAATTCAATTCGACAAAGTTTTATCTCGTTGGCTCGAACTGATCGTTCAAACCGCAGCACGAGCGAGTACTATTACTTTAAGTATAAATATTTCACGTGTATTTGGATATTATGCACATTCTTACTGTAATTTCTCGTAATTGAACGTTGCGCAATTTGATTTTGATTGCAGCGTATTGGCCTCGTGGCGACAGTGCAGCTTCGTCGCTTTTCGGCGGTATGCCGGGCGGATATGGGTTGGGGGCTCATCATTTGCCATCGGCTTACGCGATCCTGGGCCGTGGAGGCTCCGCTCCCGGATTCGGGGGCCACACACCAGCTTCCGCTCCGCCGCCACCCCCGTACTCTCACAGCAGCCTTGGTACTCTGAGCGTAGCTGCCAGTCAGGCTGCGAGTTTAGGTAATTTCATTGTTACATCGTTCTACGTTTCTACCAGGTTCTAGCGTGCGTTCGAGAAGTTTGTATCGACGACTAACGAGTCGAGAAATATTTTAGCAATATGGCGGCGAATGACTCGAACGTCTCTCGAGCGAGAGTAAAGCGAATCATTTGAAATTCCGTAGGTATCAATCCCGCTAGTGCAGCATGGTGGACGATGGCCTCACATTTGGCGGCACAGGACTACCTCGCGAGGTTGCAAGGAGCGGCAGGATTGCCCGGATTTCCGCCTGGCGCCGAGAGCCTTCTGCCACCTTATCCTGCTTCTCTTCTTAATCCCCCGTCCCTATCGTCCCACAAGTCCAGTAAGTGTAAGTGTCACCACCAGTTGAAACGTTGCATTCCAGAGTTAGTTGCTCCATCTATGTCTCTCTGAAATTGTTAACCTCTTGGCTAACTGAAGAACTGTAGATGGCCTTCGCGCACTTTGGTGGCTCACTCGTTTCTCAGTTGTTTCTCAGATCTTTCAAATTATTTTACAAAACACACTTTAATTCGTTCGTTCTTTCAAACTTTCATTCATTCCAGTGTAACTACGTAGCGTAAAAGTGTTTGTTCTTACACTTTTCCTTTGCACGGTTTGCAAGTGCGGGTTTTATTGTACAGAGAAAAAGAATCTCGCCATAGCTGAGAGGTTAAAATTCGTACAAAAGTGATGAACTTTTCTTGTTCGGGAAGGATCGGTGCAACTTTTCTTGCGTTTTCGAATTTCCTCGATCCTTCCGTCGCGCTCGATGGTAGAAAAGGGTGAAAAAACGGTGAAATGTTTGTTTCGCATGGACGGAAAAGCTAAGTCAAGCAAGAGTCACAAGACGCCAGCGAGCAGCAGCAGCAGCAGCAGCTCGACGACGCCGAGTATGACGAGCAGCAGTTTACCGGTCTCGACTCAAGCACCAGTCACGTCCTCTCATCACAGCACGTCGGCCAGCAGCACGCCGAATTCGCAAACGAACGTTGTCAGGTACGAGAGAGTGTACACGCTCGTTAAATCGATGGTTTTTTTCCCGTTTTCATTATTTCTCTCTTTTTTTTTTTTTTTTTTCTTTTTTTAACTGACGCCCCGCGTCCGCAGCGCACTTACCGTTTCCCATTAATTATTTTTCCACGCTTGCCGATACGTCTACAGTTCTGCGAAAGAGGGCAGGTGAGAGATCGTTAAGAATGAACAAACAAACAAACAAAAAAAAAAAAAGAAAACTATTAATAATCGTCGACGAGCTTGAAAGAAATAAAAAAGAACCAAAAAAAAAAAGAAAGAAAGAAAAAAAGAAACGAATGAGAATGAAAAATAGAAAGAGATGAAAATAAAACGAATCGAAGGGGATGCTGGTGCACGATCGATATTTGTTATTCACAATTCACGGGGTATTTTTCTCTATGTTCGTCTCCCTTCGACCCGTGAATTTTCGCGCTGTTCGGCTCTCTCCCGTTCATTTAACTTTCATACGGTGCTTGTAACCGTGTAATTTCGTTGTTATGATTGCTCGATGGCCCTTAACGTCGCGCCGTTTTAAACAATTTGTCCTTTAAATAGTCGCACGTTTCCCCCGGTTGCATTTCATATTCAAAATAGTCGCGCGCGGGAAAGGGGGGGGAAAAAAAAGCGTTCACGCCCGGCTAGCATTTAGCTCTTTGTGGACACCGATTGCATTCATCCTTTTGTACGTTCGTCTCTCAATTTTGACACTAATGTTATACAGGCTCGTGCCACTCGTGGAATAACACTTCGATCGTGAAATCATATTTACATCGATCTTGCGATTGATCGATTCCAATCGAGTGTTCCCGAAGGGCTACCAAACGTGAAAAATGCTCGAACGAACGTCTCGTTGATAAATCTCGGAATGTTTTTCGATCGAGATTGAACGATCCGAATGATTGTTTGAATTGTATCTATTTAGCGACCCCAGCAGTATATTAGGAGGTGTACGGCTGCCGCCCGATACGGAGATTATCAAGTATACGTCGAGCATAGTCGGTCCAAAGGTTCCTGGCACAACGAACCGCGGCAGGAAGAAAACTATATCCTTAGACACGCCGAGTGTGAGCGTACATCCGCCGCCTGTGCCAGCTCTCAGCGCTCATCAAACAAACACCACGACGTCTTCGTTGATGATGGAACCGAGAAAGTATAATCGCACCGGGGTAATTATCGCGTATTTTACTTTTCGTATTTTTAAAACCCACTTGCATCGTAAGGAAAAATGAATAATGTCTCATCGCTCTTGTCGCCAATTTTTCTTTTATTACACTTGAGTAGAAAATTTTCAAAAAGTAAAAAAAAAGAAATTTTGTATTTCAGTATTTTGTCGATACATAGTAAGAAAGAAGAAATCTCAAAGATATATTATTACTCACAATATCATCCAAGAGTGCAAAACGCGCTTTGGTAATAATGACTAGAAAATTGCGCATATATATATATATATATATATATATATATACGTTAATGATGCAGATGGGTCGATTATTAATCTGTTCGATCTGTTAGATATATGACGAATAGCGTGCGAGGCATCGTGCCTCTGATCTATTTTGATAGCAGACGTCTGGCAATGGAGGTCCCAACGGTTCCGGGGTAAAACGTCGGCGTTCGAATTTCTTTCAGACCGAGTCGAACGACTACAGGGAGTCGGTGGATCGCGTGGAAGTGATCAAATTGCCGGCACACTCGACAAACGGCTCTGTCTTACCGGCGCCAACGTCCTACACGACGACCACTAACGCGACCAATTCGAACGATTCGGACGCGCCTCTGAACCTCTCGCTGAAGCCCGCGACGACGAGCAGTAACTCGCCGATTTCCGGCAGCCAGCCGCTCAGCCAGCTTAGTAATTTAAGTCAATCGTTACTCGCCTCCGATCGTACTTGTAAGTACCTCTCGTTCGTACCGTATTTCGTACGTGTATTTCGAAGAATCTAGAAACCGAGGAGCCAGAAACCTGTGCAACGTGTGTTGTCGTCTCGTTGCAAACTGAGCGTTCGTTATTTTCACGAGCAGCGAGAAGAAAACCAGGACCGAAGCCCCGAAGAGTGCCGCAGAACTCCGTGCCGGTGCCAGCGTCGCCAAGCACATCGTTGGCGCAGATGTTCGCCGCGGCGGATTCGCCTCAACGACCGAGCAGCGGAAGCGAGGAGAGCGAGAGCGCGAGCACGACCCACCACAAGGACGGTCGGCCGAGAAACTTGGGCCGCGGAGTGTCGAAACCGAAGAAGAACACGGTGGCCTCGTTGCTAGCTCAGAGCAGAGCTCTGGGGATCAAACCGACGCCCACCTTGGACCCCAGCGTGCCATTGTCTCATCAGGTCTCGTTACTGAGGTCGAATATTCTAGCTGCTCAGCTACATGGCACTTCCACTGGTCAGACCGACGACAAGAATCAGGTAAAGCATACACACACACAGACACACACATACACACATTTATTTATCATATAATTTTTCATTTTCCTCTTCTTTTCTTTTTTTTTTCTTTTTTTT